TATAATTAACTTATGTTATTCAAAATTTTTTAAATTATGATGTGTATTAGTTTTTATATTATATATGTATATATATATATATATATATATATATATATATATATATATTTATATATATAATAAGATAGAAAAAAAACAAAGAACTAAACACAATGTGTTAACATTAAAAAAAAATATATTCAGAGATTGTTATTTAATTATGTAAAAATATTTGTGCTCATGATGTGATAAGTAAATGAATACTTTTCTTTAAAATTTGTTTCTATTTTCATTTAAAAATTCCATTACGTGTTAAGTGTATTTTTATTAAAATTATGAACTTATGCATAGAACATATTGCGTTACAAAATCAACATTTCTCTACACTATTATTTAAAATACACTTGAATTAGATTTAAACATAAAATTTATTAACAAAATAATTCTTGCAATTTCTATTTTCAATAAATTGATTAAGTTGTCATGTGTAAAAATCATATAAGTATTTTTTAATGAATCTTAATTAAAATTTTATTTTTATACTCTTTTTAATTAATACTTCAGAGTAGTAATTTACGACGATTTTCATATAAAAGCTTGCCATACAGTCTTATGGATAAATATATAGATAAATATATGGATAAATCCATGCATATTATGTATTAATATATAGATAATTAATTTTAAATTTTAGATAGACTTTTAATTGAAATATGTTAAATTTAAATATTTGTGTTTGAAACTAAGATTATCAGCAGAAATTGATATATATATATATATATATATATATATATATAAAAAAAACAATATAATAGATATACAAATTTATTATAAAAGTGCATAGTTAGGATGTCGATTAAAAAATAATTTAATTATTATATTAATTTTAAAAATGTATCGCTTCAAAATGTATTTTTATTAAAATAAAATAAAATAGTTATAAAAAATTAATAAATTATATTATTGACAAAATCTTGTATTAAAAATGCGAGTTTATAAAATTTATATTATCAGCAAATTAATAGATATTGTTCAAGAATATATTTACCATATTCTCATTTATATGGTAAATATATTTATATATTTATGTATATATATATATATATGTATATATATGTACAGATACACACATAATTTATTGCTCAGTGGCTTTTATGTTACAGTATAATTATCAAACTTATCAGATATGACACTCCAGTTAATCCATGTAAGATCGTTAATAGCACTAATATAATTAATACTAATATAATTGTAATTAGATATTAAATTCAGGACATAAAAAAAAAATATATATATATATAAATATATAAATTTATTGCATAATGAAAATTATACATGCTCATAAAAATTTGAATAATTACGGCTTATATTACAATTAATCAGGCATATAATAACTGAGAATTGAACCATCATGTTGGGATTATGACTTAATTATGTCATATAATAAATAATTTTATAATATATTTATAAATATAAACAAAACATGATATCCAATAATTTCATTACATAAACTTCAAGATAATAAAAAAATGATTTTCTTTAAATCTACGCGTATATTTTATAAGCAAAACCTATAAATCAATTTATAATCTTACAGGGTAAACGAAAAGCACTATAAAGGTTATAATCGACATCGTAAAACTGAAAAAGCAACGGAACGAAATACATGACAATGTAAACGAAAATGTTAAATCTTCAACATCAAAGCTCCATCTAGATGCATTAGTGCTGGGTTTCTCACTGTCAATTTTTTTGAATTTTAGCCAAAAACTTATCCTGAATTATTCAATTGTTTTGCTCTTTTTACATATGTATTAGTTTCTATTTAGATTTCACAAAAATATCAGATTACCCAACAGTTTTTCTTCATGAAACAATAAGCAACTGCTTAAGTATCTCATGTAATCAATATATATGATTTATATATGTATGAAGAAAAGGTTTAAAAAAATTTTTGCAATATAAATTTTATAATTTAAAGATTAATATATTTGAAAATTTAAAAATTTTTATCCTACAATATGAACTTTGATTAAATATATATATCTAAATTGTGTTACATTCATGTTTATTAATACATTATTTTACGAGATTTTTTAAAATATAAATTTACACTTAAAATAATAAAAATATTGGCCAAGCTAATCTATGATTGATCTTATTATTCATTAAATTAATTATAAAGCGGAAAGATAAAACAGCTATTTTATGTTTCCATGAAAATATATCATTCATGGTTCGTACATAGAAATTGATTCTTATTTCTCTCTCATTGCTCACGAATTGGTTATATTTAATTTTGAAAAGAATATGTAAATTTCATAATATAATACAATAGATTGTCAGATATTTATATGATTACTCTTTGAAGTCGATTAGCGTTCATGCGATAAAAATTATTTCTATTAATATGGAATAATATCATTTTGTTTGTATAATAAATTAAACAGTTTTCATGACTCTAAGAATTTTCTGTCATTCAATGATAAGAAAGCATTAGAAAATGGAAAAGAAACACAAAGAGAAAATCCAAAGAAACTACTGGCTGTTTCGGAAAACTGGGAATTTTTTCAGACGAAAATTCATGTTTCCACAAAGTCAGCGGCCAATGTGAAAAGGGCGAGACAAGCGGGGGAAACGAGAGTGCCACAACTGATTTACAGTTCGATATCGGATTTTCCGGCATTACGAGTTCCTAGGTCGTGTCGAGAACACGTAGCTTATATGTCAACCGCATGTGTACTCGTGATATTGCGAGATATAAGAATTGGTACAATGGAATACAGAAATAAAGAATTCAAAATAGTTTGAGTATAGCGAAACTTTATTAAATCATTATATTTAAGGTATCGTGCAACATCTATTTTTATCAAGTAGTCAATATTTCTAATAAGTACAATTAATATAATCATTGTCAAGTTCTCTATTTAATTGATTTATCCGTGTAATATTTTAATGTTTATAAAAATATTATTTTCAAAAAGTCAACATTTCAGTTTAGAAATGTAAGATATGTTGGACATATATTGTAATTAAAAAGAAAAAAACAAGATGAAGATACGTTATTAAATATGTTGATGAAAACTATCATCAAAATCACTTTCAAAACAATCAAAAACATCAAATAAACTGAATATTATGAATATAAATGCTCAGCTTGTTTGCCTAATTATTAATTTACTTAATATAACGGAAACACGATTTGAAAATACAAAGAACTCTTTTATTTTCAAATTATACTCAATGCAGCAATTACAAATTCAGTTGAAATTGATTTGTTTATTCTTGAAAATTTGTTAGTTCCATCCTGATAATCTCAGAATTTCTACCAACTATTAATGCACACTGTAAAACGAAAAAAAAAAACAGTCCCCCTCCAATCAAATTCAATTTGCTCCAATTTTACTCCAATTTGCAATTTTGCATTATTTTTGTGGTTATAGTCCGCATTCTTGGCTTCTTCTGTTAAATCGACAAAACTTTCGACGGCCCTAAATCATCGTCCGCATGACATAGAAGTTCGTAAAGCGCAGTTATACGCCTCTATAAGCGCTTTAAGTACCGAAGTGCTTACCATTACAAGCGATTTACCCATTCAAAGAGTCGCGGCTCGTCGGTGATTCTCGCTTCCTTATACATACTCATACTACAGCAGAAAAAGTTAATAAATCCGGTAAACTGCTGCACCCCTTTTTAATTTTACTTTTTGAGAAAAAAATTACGATAAGGATTGTTTATTCATGATAAACAACTCGTAAAATTAATATAATCTACGTCAACTAGTATGGTTGAAAGATTAAAAAGAGACGTAGAAATCAATCGATAGATGTCAAAGGCAATTTAATCTCATATACATGTATATGAAATTGTATTAAATAAAATTTTCTTATTTTTTAAATTTAGAAATATAATAAATACATTTAAATATTAATATTTGAAACATTAAAAATCGAGCGTCTATCGCCGCTCTATAATATTTGACCTTCAAAGAGTCTTTTGCCTAGTTTCTTGGATAAATTTATGTTCCGTTTAGCATTCTGTAAAATTAATATAATAAAGCAACATATTCTCAACAATTTGAAAAATCATCAGAAAATGTTATTAATCTTAGCTCTTACCTATTGTATGTATTCGTACGCGAAGGAATGAAATAAGATTTTGCATACAAATATATGAAAAAATGGGTTACTTTTATTGTGATTGCCAACAATGACATTTTAAATGACCATTTTGAACTCATTTCAATATAATACTGTAGAATATATATAATTTCGTTTATTCGCCGAAGAGGAACAGTTTTTAAAATAATTTTCAACTATATAATAAGCTTAAAGCTTTTTCAAATAATATTATTCATTATTTATTTTATATGTGCATATATAATTAGCAAATATCTAATCAGACTGTGAAACAATGAATTACTAAATATTTCTGTCATTTTTGTTATATTGGCAATAATTCTTAATATGAATCTTTTCGGTTAAAATGAGTTACTACGTCATAAATGTTATTTTTATTAAAAACCCCTAATGCATTACAAAAGCTCATACAACTAATTACAACAACGAATTAATATTTTCTTTATTGGGATTTAATTAAAGTTAGGTAATACTAATATAAATAAAAGCTTCAAGTATCATGCTATTTTTACCAATACTTCATCAAAAATTTAATTCAAAATGGATGATAGAGTTAATCAAAGTAGGTCATCTATTATTATTAATTTAATATATCTATAATATCTACCTTCCTATCGATTTATATATATAAAAAAAAAAAAAAAAAAAAAAAAAAAAAAAAAAAAAAAATTCATATAAACTCTTAATATTGTATAATACGAAAAATCTATTTTTCTATATATAAAATTTTTCTTATTTAATTAAAAAAATAATTCATTGCTAACAAGTAAATTCGAAAATATAATCAAGCATGCGTTGCTATATAGCAAAAATATATAGAGCCTAAATCAAACAAACTATTATTACTGATTCTAATTTATATTTATTTTTTGTTTAATACAGCCTCAACACAAAGGGAAATACATATTGGAGTATGTATGCAAGCAACTCAATATTTTAGAAACAGACTATTTTGGATTACGTTACGTGGACAGTTGTAGACAAAGAGTAAGTATTTTACATTGACTTTTTATTTTAACGAATTGAAAGCGATAATATAATTCCAAAATATTTACAAAAAAAAAAATTATAATAATTCATGATATACATTAATTTACTTTATTATCAATTATATAGCACTTTATGGAAGTATGTTATTTTAAATTTTAATAATAATGTTCCTATTATATACATATTTTTTAATTTATAAATAAATTAATTTTTTTTTTTTTTTTTTTTTTTTTTTTTTTTACGAGGTTACAAGGAAAACTTTTTTTATTCAATAGTCTGATTAAAAAAAATTAATTTGTGGTTAATTATTAAAAGCTTAAAGTAATGAAATAAATTTTTATTTGAATTGTATTGATAATATCGTTAGTATCTTATCTCTGAAACAAGTCAAAGAATGAATCTCATTGAAATCATTATTATTTCTACTTGTATAACTTCATCCTCCTTCGCTCACTTCTAAACAATTTAGTTTTATTTCACTTTGATCTTACACAACTTTGCAAAAGTTCTCGTAAGTCAGACCGTAAATAATTCATGTAGAATAATTCATCCAACAACAAATCTTATGTTTTTTTTTCTTAGTAAACAGTAGGTATAATGGTAACTAGGTACTCGTACCTTACTGCAAGTTAAATTCTTGATTATTAATTGTTGAATATTATTTACTATGCGAGATGTATAAAAGGTTCGTAAACTATTGCACAATTGTTCTCTCTTCAATGAAAATTATAATTCATTTCTGCTCATTAGCAACAAATTTACGAAATTTAATTTTCTAAAACTACTTTTAATAATATTTAATATCATTTAATAAATGATTTATTTATTAATAGTCGATACTTATTACATGAGTTTGTAAATGTAATTGTTATTTACTCGTGATTATCTTGAATGAGAATATGAATATAAATAATTGTAACAAATTATCAACGCTAAATAAATCGGTAATAATACATCAAATAAATTATTTTCACTCATTTTATAAGTCATTCGAAGTATTTTTCATTCATATATATATATATATATTTTTTTTTTACTTCAAAATGTATTACCACTACATTTCAAATATATATATATATATATAAATATATATGTATTGTTGAATAATCAATTTTTTTCTTTCAATATAACGATATTCATGCAATTATATAACTCAAGAGAAATTAATTATTTCAATAGTGCATTTCTTAGATAACAATATAAAAGTATAAGAAGTCAAGTAGTTGTTCTACTTGTCTTAACATAATAAATTGTTATTAAATCATTCGATGTACCTAATGTACGGACATTGAAGAATATACGAGCCAATAAATAAATTATTAAATTACTTTATAGTTCGAGAAACATTGTTAACAATTTAGTAAGAAATCGAATAAAGATCTATATCTTGCAAATTAAAATATATTCTATTAGTAATGAAAACAGTAATACTTTTCAATAAAAAAGTTCTCGAATGTCGTAAAACATTTTGCCACGCGTCTGTCTTTTTTTTCGTTTCTTTTTTTTTTCTCATGCGTACATTCGACGGTACGGAAATGAAAGATGTGTTTGCCCGCATAGTTGGCAACGAAAATCTTACGAGGTGAAAGAGGAATACTTGCGCTTTGACCCCGTCCTTTTCTTCGTTCTCGTTTCGCTTTCCTTATCACTTCGGAGCACTGATTTAAGTGGCCTCGGTGCCTTCAAATTGAACGCCAGTGACATCCTTTGAGTCAAGTGCAATCTCGACATGTTTCTTAGTTTCAAGATTTTTGTAATTTTCATATTGAGTCAACGAGTTGCGCGCTATAACCTTTATAATCTCACTGTACATTGCCAAATAAACCGATTATATTTTATACTCTATCGTGTATATCGTTTTATATTTTATTAATATTGGACATTGGTTTAAATAATTGAAGCTTTATTGTGAGAAAAAGTCAAAATAGATTTAAATATATATATATATATATATATATATATATATAATTGTGTTTCTATAAAGCCTTATGAATCGTATTTTATTATGTATTTTATAATTCAATATAAATCTCCATTCTATAAATGTCCAATATCGAATTTTCTTTTATATAATTTATATGTTTACATGAGTTTCTTATTAATAATTTTTAACCATTGCGAAAAATTTTAATTTCTATTCTAATATTTTAACAATGATATCTGACTGTAAATTTATAAAAATCAATTTAATATCGCAAAGGAAATTAAATTTAAAATTTAGACAATATGTTACAATATATATATATATATATATATATATATATATATATATATGAGAAAAGTTTTAGATGGAAAACTTGGAAATCCACGTACGAAGAAAATTTCTGCTTTTCAAAAGATTATACGAATGATTGGCTATAAAATAGTTAGTAACTGGTTTAGTTTACAAAGTAATCAAGTGAAAACTGTTTATTTACTTTTATCCTATATAATGTAAGAAAAGCTATTTAATGCCCATCTGGATGTTTAACAAAGATTCAGCATTTTATTGTTTGTATACAGTAGTATGATACAAAACCTGCGTATACTCACAATAAACAAAAAATTCATTATTTTTAATGGAGAATTATTTTAACATCCTTGAAAATTTATATTAATAATTGAACATTGATGAAATTCTTCTTCTAAAATCAATTATCAATAGCTGCCATCTAAATTTTGTTTAGAAAACCTATTCGTTAAAAAAAAAAAAAAAAAAAAAAAAAAAAAAAAAAAAAAAAACAAACAAACAAACAAACAAACAAACAATGCCGCATTTATTTCAAGATATTTCAAGATCTCATTTTATAACTTGAATTATCCGCCAGCTGTTTTATACGCGTAAAGTATAGTTAAAATTAATATCTTGAGCTTATATCTGTCGTATTCGTAAGTTTTTTATTTTATTATTATTTCTTATTGAATGAAAAATACTATTTGTTCTAACGTATAATATTATACGGGAATATTATTGTAAAATCTAATCAATAACATATAATATACTGTGTATGAAATGTATGAAATTTGTTTGAAATGAGATAAAGCTTTATGTAATTAAATATTGTTAGTAAATTATTATGAATGCCACTATTATATGAATTTACAATTAATGTAAACAATTCACATTAAAAATATGTGTGTATCTATTAACATATTTCACTCTACTTTATTTCAATGTCCCTACATGTACATGAATATTTAAAAATAATTATTGTAAGTGCGTAAGTAATTGTAAATTCTATATCAGAACTTGCGTAGCGAATGGAATAATTAATAATTAAGATTCGGTTTAAGCTTATATTCTATGTTAGATAACTCAGGCGACTATGGAATGTATAGGAGAGTAACTCATCTCCATTCTCAGTAAAATACTATAACAATATATCATAAATTGAATAAAAATTTTTTAAAGATTAATGCAAATATTGATTTTTCAAATAAATATAAGTATAAATCTCTTTTCTCATTATGAACGATCGACATACAAAAGTATTATGTTTTTAATATGCATAGAATTAGTATATATTCCACAGTAATAATTACACAGAAAAATGTATAAAAGGATTATGTAGGTAATTGTTCTTGCTAAAATTCTTATGAGTTTTCGTGAAATAAACCAGACAGGTAGAAAAGTAAATGGGACCGAACCTGTTTTAAAATTTTTTATTTTATCAATCCTTTATTTTATACATATATACTTTAAATTATTTATTATAAAGGAATTAGTTTTCACTGTCTTTTTCATGCATAGCCACTTTTCCTTTTGTCTCGGAATATTTCAAAATTGTCAAGTGACGTTCCTTAACGGCGCGTTGCGATAGAACATTAACTTGTTAGTCGTGTGGATTCTCTTAGCAAATTGACTGTTGGCGCTAATAAAGTTTTCGTATTTTCCATCCGCCGACAGATATAAGTAACGAGTGAAGTTTTAACTTTGCGGCATGGTCAATCAAAATAATATTGGTATCTACAAATATTTATTAATATCGCAATTTTATTAGTTTTAAAATGGTCACACAGTTCTTCTTTAATCATCTATAGAACCTCGATAACTTTTTTATTAAATACTTATTACCATTAAAATGGCATCTTCCTGTATATATGATTTCCATGATATTGAATTGCAAACGCTTAATCTCTATTTTGGAATGGCTCATCTTTTATAAATTTTACTAAAATCTAATTCGTATAAGTTTTATATTTCTCATAATTTTATGTAATAGTAATGACTTCATATTTTACATCTTTTCAGAGAGTTTTTAAAGTTCGTGTATACGCGCGCGCCCGCGTGTGTATTTGTGCGCAATAAGATTTATGTTTTATGAACGAACTTATAAAATAGTATGAAACAATTTATATTTATTTATACAAATGCATAGATTCATCATAAAATTAATATTTTATCAAAATAAAATTCTTTTACTAAATTTATTTACATACACAAATATCGTTAAAAAACACATAAAAGTTACATGTTTTAGAAATATTAAACAAATTTTAAATTATAAAGTATACTAAAATCTTATTATTTTATTACCGTATACAGAACATTTCAAAGATAATGAAAGAATATGAATAAAGAATATTCATATTACGAGTACTCCAAAAACGAATAGATTTATATAAATTGTATAAAAACTTGTAAAAAATTTTTATTTTTAATTTTTCATTTATTACATATGAAAATTTTCGAATTTATTCAATGATAAGTAATTTAAATTTAAAAATTTCTGAATTTCTGATCATTGACTGAAAATATATTGTTATACTTCTTATCTTCAATTCTTTGTATTTTAACAAATAATATTTAAAAATTTTTTTTATGATCTTTATAGCACGTTATGCTACATAGAGTAATAATGAATTAACATTTGTGTGTGTGATATACTGTGGGAGAGTATGTAGTACATTTTATATTGTACATTACACTTTTGAATCGATAAATAATATAAAATTTTCATCCATTTATATTAATTATTTTGAATGTATTGAGATTTTTAACCCTTGATATTTAACGTGAAAAACTATTTGTAATTGTTAATAATAATTAAATTCAATAATTATATTTATTTAGATATCCAAAAACTGTTATTATTGTTCCATACATTTCACAAATGATATTTCATCTCATATATATATATATATATATGTTATTCTAATACTATAAGTTTTGGAAAATTTTTTTGAAACTATAATTTTCAACTACGATATAAATAAAGTCATATATATTTTTTTCATCGATGTGACATTGATAATATGAATTAATTTTGCAAAGTACATAATGACGATTTTAGTAATTGAATTAAATATTGAAATTAAAAGAGCTCAAATTCCAAAAAAATCTAAAGCACGCATAATTTTCATTATGTGTTAAAAAATTTAATATTTTACAAATTTAAAAACTTTTCATTCCATATTTACGAATGACTTGCGCAGCAGATACGTCGAAATGTTTTTAGCAAAATCAATATCCTTCCTCCTGTAAAACAGAGACATTTTTCACGTACGCATGATCTGGAAAATTAGCTCTTTATAAGTGTCTGTGTGAAAGTGCCTTGGATATTATATGTAAAAACTGGTTTTTCAAGTTAAAACTTTAGGCTGTGCAATGTCACTTTAAGCAAAAAGATACGATAAATTGACTTCCTAGTATCATACATATTGAAGAAATATTTTTGTAATCCTTATGAAAATAAAAGAGTATTTCAATATAAAAAATAACTTGCTTTAAAAAATAACGCTTAAAATTTTTCGTTTTATTAAACATTTCCTTTATTTCTGATTTTTAGCATATATTTTTATTTCTGTATTACTAATTTATAATAAAAGGAGTTATAAATATTGAAAAAACTATGTAGAATGAATTAAAATGTAATTACGCGGTTAACAATTGTAATTATAACGATTTTCTAAATTGTTCTATATTGTTTTGAATTTATCGAATTTTATAAAACTTAAAAATGTCTATATATTCAAAATAATATAGATTTTAATACAATTTTACGAAACTTCAATTATATTTGCAATTTAAATTACTAAGATTGAATGATGACCTATAATTCAAAATGTAATAAATCTATTAAATTGCATTCTAAATACTTTATATTTATGCTCTAATAAATAACGATAATAATAATAAATCGAAGGATAATGAAGAAATAGATAGATTATTGTTTATTATTAGAAAAAATTTAAGTTTAACAAATATAAGCGAAATATATATATATATACTCTGGTATTAAAAGTATAAATGTAAGTAATTTGTACAAAGTTTCTTTTTACAAATATTTATATGTGCATAAAATTTAAATAAACGTGAGTGCTAGTACTTTTTTAAAGTATTTTTCTACATTTTAATACCTAAAACTGTTAATAAAATTTTTTTTTTGTGAAATATAAAATTTGTTTTTTAATCTACACGAACTGAAATATATATTAATAGAGTACCGGCTATTAAATAAATCGACATGTAATATAATTTAAATATTTGCATATGTTGCAAAAATTATAGTTATAATTTTTTAAATATACCAATTTACACCGAAATATTTATAATTATATAATTTATATTGAATTTTTTATTTTATTTAAGCATCATTTTTATTTTTATGGAATATCAATATTTTGCTTTTGTATGTGTTTTAATTTACTTATATATTCACTACTGACACAGTAATCAGTCATATGTATATGAATTTTGCACAGCATAGATTTACTGACGGCGTTTACCGTTTCCTTATTTTCTTATTTTTTATTATCTTTAAAAAGAAAAAATTAAATTATTTTATTATTCCTATATCCGTTACTACATTACTAGTGGTTAGACATTATTTGAATTGCTCCAACATCCGTCTATAAAACTTCTTAATAACCATCGCAGAGGATTTGTACTTTTTTGGTGAACAGTATAATATTCATAAATATAAATAGCTGAGCTATGAACAATTTTCCTTCACGAGTAAAGATTCTTTTAATGACGGGTTTACAATAGGTTTCCTAAGCGATTAAGAGCATGTAAAATATATTTAATACTTAGAATAAAAAGTTTAACACAAATGTCTCGTAAAAAAATATTTTTAGCTTATTAATAATTCAAAATACATTATTAAGCAAATAAAAAATTAAATATAAAGACTATAGAAGCTTTAGCGTAACACTATATAACTTATTGGTAAAATTATTATTAAGTGTCTTAAGTTTATTAAGGAGTACATGATATTAAATAATATTAGATACTTTTCTCTTTTTGAGCAGCAGTAAACATTAAAATTCAATTTTCTATTTATTAAGGCAGCAATTCAAGTTTCATTCAATAAATAATTCAAGGTTTCAAGTTGATATATAATTTACCATTTATTTCGACACTTCTTAGCTCTATAAAATAATAGTTACATAAAGTATTAGATATTTTAGATGAAACGAGTAAAGATTATTAATTTAAAGAATTTTTTTAAAGCGTATTAAGAAAAATTTATGAAATTTTTAAATAGTTTTATCTTCAAATACATTTTGAGAAATACTTCTTATTTACTTAGTTCACTCAACACGTATGCAAATTTACTTGGTGAAAATATATATAAATAAAATATACTTAAAACATTCTAATGAATTTTATCTTTATTTTTAGCATTGGTTGGACTTGGCTAAAACAGCAATTAAACAGGTTAAAGGTTAGTATTTCTGGTTTATAGATTAAACGAATAATTACTATGCTCCCTACTTATTCGGATCCTTTGGTTTTTAATCAATAGGTTACATTAGTTTTATTAATAATAAACGTAGATTCTAGTAACAAAAAGATATAATACTATATTTTGTCATAAAATCTATTACCCACAAAATTTGAAGGAGACTCAAAACTAAAAAGACTATCGACGATGCAATTATGCAATTTCTCGACAGTTATAACCACAATAAAAAGTAATATAAAATCTGTATAAAAATAATTGTATCGTAAAAATAGAAATAATAAAGAAACTTTAATATTATTAAAAGTATTATCGTTCGTTTTTAGTGTAGTGACGGATTTATTTTTATTTAAATTTTTTACTTAGATGAAATTCAAAGCGTTCCAAAGATTTTTTTCATTCTTTTAGCAAATAGTAATGTTTCAATATATGAGTCTGTCCGTAAATATTTTATAATAAATATGGGTAATATTAGTGCTATATTACACTCATAATATTAATACATAATTGATTAAAAATCTTTTTAAAAAGCCTTTTTTTCAATGTTAACATAATATTTGATATTTGTTAATATTTTGATTTTTATCAAAAACATTCCTTTTTTAAGAAGACAAATTATTTTAAGAATAGATGAGACATAAGAATGAAAAATGAGAAATTGTAAGAAATATAGACATTTATGATTTATTTATTAAAAAATTTTCAATTTTCATTTTGAATATTACTAAAAAGAAAAAGAAAAAAAAGAAGAAGAAAAAAACGAATCAATTAAATAAAAGAAAATTTATTGAAAAAATTTTACTTTAATAATTTGCTAAAATTAATCATTTTTAAAATGTATACATCGATATTCGTTTTTGATAAGAAAATTAATATCATTTGTTTTTATTATCCTTACATTCATATGCATCTATTATCGATTATAAGAAAATAAATTAGAATATTGCAATGATAATAATAGAGTTTTCAATATTTTCAATCTTTTTAAATAAAAGCAAGTAATTTATAAACAGTAACCTACGAGTATGAAATTAGTCTCTTATAACGTCTTTTATATCCTAAATTACAATTATACATTAGATTATTCTTTTAGTCTGCAATGGAAAAAAATATCCAAATCCAGAATCATGTTCACTCTCTATTTTAAAATTCTCCTAAGCTCCTCTTTACATATCAAGCAAGTACATCTTCAGCCTACTTATCGAATCCACTTAGTCTTATCCAGCAGTTCACAGCGGAAAAGAACGTTTCCTTTTACTGCAACTTCTGCAGCAACGAACTTGAAGTCCGAGAAAAAGTATATACTTCACTTTTATTACTTTTTTAATGAGCATGAAAACCTAGCTATACTGCTATAAATTCCAAATAATTATAAAATATAGAAGAATATAGAGCATTTGTTTACGGATGAACATCACTCTATTAAATATCATAGATGTGTTAGTATTACAAAGTGACTCATTAATTTGTCATCTTAAAATCATTAATTGTAATTATTAAAAAGGTTAAGAAACGAGCTCAATTCTTAATTTGTTGAAACATTCAGGCACCATGATTATATGAAATTTCAAACTTTTATATTCCTTTGCCATCATTTATTTATAAAAACGTTCGACAAACTACGATATTACCAATTTTATCTGTAGCATTGAAATACTGAAGTCGTAGTCTTATACAAATTGCCAAATCAAGTATTAAAAGTGATTGGATTCATACCACTATAGAGCTATTTCTCTATAAAAAAAAAAAAAAAAAAAAAAAAAAAAAAAAAACTAATAATAATTTAATTATCGGTAAAAGAACGGGAATAAAGACTTGGCGGTAACACATCGAAATTTCTAATTATGAAACTTGTTCACGATAAATTACTTAAAATTTATGAGTGAATGTAGACATCAATATTAAAGGCATTTAAATTATCATTTTTACTTTTAAAAAAATGTTGGGGAACTTTTAATAATCTGATGTTTAATTTTCTTGATAATCAATTTTTTAATTTAACTTAATTACAATTTAAGTTAAAATAAATTATGAATAATAATATTAGAATGTTTCAAGGATTGTTTTTAAAAAATTTTTATAAAAGTATTTATTTATTCTGTAATTCATTCTAATATTATTATAATTATTCGATGAAACTTTAAATATATTATCATAATTATTATCTTGAAACTGTAAATCTTCATGGATATTAACTCAGAACTTTATTATAAAATCGAAATATAATTTCATTCACAAAACTTAATAATTATATTAAATTATATTAAATTATATTATAACAATTTATAAAGATTCAGGATTTTTCGATTCAATTTATACGATCTTAACAATAATTTAAATTAATTTACGCTAATAATTTCATAAATTCTTATTCAATTGTCACATTTAATATTCATTACATAAAAGTAATTTAATTGAATCCTTAATAATTTGTTGTTGTTATTATTTAATACTATTGCCATTTTCTTTACGTATTTACAATAATTATGAAGATAAAATTTATATAAATATAAATGTGAATTAAGTTACTTATTCATCATTAATCTTTAATTTCTTATTTGATTGGTTGTATTCTCTTCAAATTTTGAATATTTTCTCTAAAAGAAATTAATAATTACTATCTATTTATGCATTCTTGCTTCAAATAAAGTGATTTAAATAGTTTTTATAAATTTTTTTTATGAAACTTTTGCTACAAATATATCATAAGTACTTAAAGCGAATAATCAAAAGATATGTTTGTTATTCGATTTAAATGTATACGTGCAACTTGAATACAATGATAGTTCTTTAAAAGTTAAGCGTGTAAATTTATTATATTCTATTCTTTATAAAGTATAAAAGTTTATACAAATCCTTTCTTTATATGCGACAGAGCTTTCACACTTATCCGATTTTGAATCAATAAAACCGTAGCAACTCACATAAATATTTCAAATGTAATGGAATGTATTGATATTTCTACAAATTTGTCATTGTAGCGGTTGTAGGAGTGAAAATATTATCTAGAAACACTAAGCTACACAGATATCAATGAATAATAAATTATATCGTAATGTGTTTGAAAAGTACTAAAAATATAATAAAAATATACGTCAATTAGAGTGTTATATTAAAAAAAAAAAAAAAAAAAAAAAAAAAAATTAACCCAAAAAAATTAATATTAATGTCACATGCGCGTTATATGCACTTTTTCTAATTAGTTTAATTGGATTAAAAATTTATTAGCATTTAGTATAAAATGACAAGTAAAGTGCTTGAAAATATTTTAACTTCTAAAAATATATAAATTTCCTAAACGTCCCGATCCCCCCCCCACCCCCTGATACACGAGTTCAAAATTAAAGAAATAATTGTAAATCTTATTTAACACAAAAATTACTAATCGCTATACCGGCCTACGTAGCTAAGGTAATATTTTGAGAGAAAAAAAAAACCAAAATATTCTCGGCGTTAAAGCCACGTACCTAAGCAACGAATGATATTCGTTCGTTCAACTTGAACTTTTCACGTGACTTATCGCGCGAGCATGATGCTTCAACCAAACGTGCTCGAGCCAATAAATTATCGCTGACCATTAATCGCGCGGGTATCCCACGACAATATGGCCACGAGGAATAGCATAAATTTTCGCACAATTCTTTCATTCTCACCGATCGTTCGACAAACTTACAATTCCCTACGGGGGCTTAAGGTAATGGCTCGCACCGTCGGAAGAAAGAAAGTCGGCCAAAGTCGCCGGGAGTCTCTGCTCACTCAATGGAAATTGCAACGAGTACATTACGTTCCGCGATGCATAGGTCGCCAGGGTATTTGGCGTATCGAGTACGCGATGTGGCGGTGGAGTTTCAGATCGATAAATGCACTTCCGCTAGCATTCGAGCACTCGAGCTGTGCGTGCTCCCGAAAGACGACGACAAGGGCGAAACGCGGGCTATGACGGGGCCGTTAAGATTACAAGGTGTGAGGTGGTGCGAGAGCTGCTTTCGCCGAGGATGTAAACGTCACTTGCTTCCTTTTTGTCATTGTTGGTCCGCTTTACGTAACGGGGCTGCCAACCTACCGCTTGAGTTTATCGCAGGGCCGATCGATGGATCGTGGCGAGGAGTTGTTTGCGTTTATTGTTGCTTGCTTTGCCTTAGCCATTAAGTTGAACGAGCGAGTTGCGACGAGTGAGGGCGTGGTCGGGGTAGTGGCGGGTTCGTCGGAGCGGGGTAGGAAGGACAGGGATACCGAGATAGAGAGAGGTAGAGAGAGGAGATAGAGAGGCTATGTTGCCTTGGGCTTACAATCACACGAATGGCTGCTCTTTCGTGAATATGTACTTTTTATCTCTTTAGATTGATACAATGGATATTTTGCAAAAATTTATTGCAAAAATACTTTGGACTTTCATTCTACTGGACAATTTTATTTTATAAATTTGTACAGTGTGATGGGCAAGTGTCATTAAATCTGTCAATAAAAAGCTGATAATGGTAAACGGTAATGGGGATTAAACTAGATGTATTTAAAGCATGAATCCCGATACACTTATCGAGAGTTTTACAGTTTTACAAGATTCGTAAATTGGATGTAAGATTCTTCAAAATGTGCATGATATTATAAAAATGATAATTTCATAGCGTTCAGAGATAATAGCGTCTTTCGAATTTCTTCATCTTTTTGCATTATAACTGATTCGCGAGGGCTCTTGCAATTGTAAAGCACAAGTAAGATAAGTTGAAGTTAAATATTTTATTGTGAGGGTAAGCTCGCCACGTGGCCTAGGCGAGATTCGCTATGATTCGCTATGGTAGAAAGACGATGAGAACGAAGATGTGCATAAATATCGGCACATGTACATTTAGTTTAGATAAATACAGGTCATCCGAATTTACGTGTAAAAATGTTTATTCTTGAGTTTTTCTCCTTATTTTCTTTCTTACTTTTTAACGAGTGTCGAAAATATTGTCAGGCAACCAAATTGCCATTAATATTTAATTGACGCGAGATAAAAAGTACTTTTGAGAAAAATATTGTAGACAGTAAAATAGGTATTTTACTATATGATTATGATTTTACGTAATTCTAAAAGTACTTGGAATGTTAAAAACTGAAATGTGTTTACATTTTATTTTAAATTTTCGTTTTATAAATTCTTTAATGTTCCCAAAGTGCACTTCTATCGAAGAAGTTCGAAAATATACATAACTTTTTTTTTATGTCTAACATACATTTTCTTCGTTACTGCGCTTAACCTTACACGGGCAAAGTGCATAAATAAGGAAGATTAATGTCCATCTTGTAATACCACAATTTCTCAACTTTTGAATGAACTTAAACAAAAATTCATTAAGCACATAAGTTCAATGCTCGCGTAATATACTGAGATTAAATATTTAATCAGAATTTTGCCTTATGGCAATATGCCGCACATCACAATCATCTTAACAATGGCATTACTTTTACGATAATAATAATTTTGTCATTATCATGCTTAATCGATCGCTTATTTCCCTAATTTGTCTGTTTACTAGTGCGGTCTATTATTATTAATCGATTATCAATTATCGATTATCGATTATCGATTATCAATACGACAATAATGCTGCTTTTCTTTTCTTCCGTTTAAGCTCCTCTCAACTCTTAACACGAACTCATTTCGTACTAATGCATTTCCTATCATCCAAGAAAACACGGAAATCCCTTTGGCAATCGGATTCTTAACTGATCTTATTGATCATTCACCGACCAAAAACTCATCCATCCAGCCTCGTTACAATAGCATTACCGAGCGATGCCCCCTTTTTATCCAAACAGCCCACGCACTATAAACTACAAGATGATTGAACATTGTTACAGACACAGAGCCGATTCTGTTCAGCTTCCGCGTGAAGTTCTACCCACCGGATCCGCTTCGACTGAAAGAAGAGATCACGCGCTATCAGATTTATCAACAATTGAAAAGAGATCTGCTACACGGCCGCCTCTACTGCAGTCCCGGCGAGGCGGCGCTACTGGCGGCTTGCATCGTGCAAAGTAAGGATCTGCTTTCTAAGCTAAACCACTCGATTAATTAGAGCCAAATTTTTACAAAAAGCACCTTTTACTTATATATTGTCAACCGTATAGACTGAACGCAGTTTTTATACAGTTTGACCGTTTTCCGTAATTAACGCGTTAAGAACGAAGGTGCCTCTGTATCACGAACAGTACTTCTTTAGTACTTGGAAGGGAAACATCATTGCTTAAGAAAGTAATACGGGTCCCATTGGAGTTTCTCCTGGTGTTGAGCGAACTAATTGATTAATAAACGAGAGAGTTATGTAAATTCTATTTCATTAAATATTTAAAAAAATATTTCTTATGATATAATCATAGGCATTCCGTATGTTTAAAATCTTATGCACAAAGCGAATGATTAAGAAAAAATTTTTATATCAATTTTTACGAATGTGCTCATCTTCGTTAAGATGATCTCGATAAATTTCAGTAATCTATCGCATAATTTATTGATAAAATTGTTTAATTAAAATTAATTTGTAATAGTAATTTGTACGTACCAAATTATGAAAAAAAAAAAAAAAAAAAAAAAAAATTATAATCTACAATTTTCTGAATGTATATATCCCACCATAGAACAATATTGGTGATTTATGAATATTATCAATTTAATATATACATTCTACAGTTATTGTCTTAGGATTAATTAATTAATAAATCATTTCGTTATCAAATTTTTTCTGCCTAATGCTTGTAATTTCGTTAAAAATGCTATTCAAGTTTAAATCTTGATCAAATGATAATTAACAAAATTTTTCTTGGACTTATCTTAATATTAAATTTTTTCATTTATAGATCGAGGCATGATGAAAATATAAATAAATATTGGCTTTGCTTTTATACTTCATATTTATTTCATGTTTCTTAAATTTTTCGAAATATAAATGTTATAAATTCTTAATTTAAAGCTTTTTTTAATAAAAGATTTTCACAAATTAATACATTCGATTATTCTTCAGTGAATGCTCGAATTTCCTTCTAATAATCACTTGAATCATATAATTAATGTTACATGATATTATTTATATTACTAATACTTACATTTATAACATTTTTAGAAATAATAATAATAATAATAAACAATAGGCAAATATATTTTAGTCAAATAACTTAAAATATTTTATAACATACCATTTAAACATCGTAGCATATGTACTTTTGACTTTTGCTTTGTATTTGAAATATAAAATACTCTATATTGAATTAATAGAAAAATTAGAAATTTATGTTAATCAATAAATATTAAATTGGTAATAAAATGTTGCGTAAATTTTTTCTTTTCATTTTTTTGTTTCTATTTCTTTTTTAAACTTCGTTTATAAGAATAACATTTTGTAATGTAAATGTGAATTATAACAAGTAGTTATTTCATTCTTATATTTTCTATGAATTCTTAAAATATATAATATATATATATATATATATATATATATATATATATATATATATATATATATATTTTATATTTTTTTTTTATATTCTTATATTTTCTATGAATTCTTAAAATATATAATATATATATATATATATATATATATATATATATATATATATATATATATATAATTTATAATTACTTTTGATATTGATAATAAGGGAAATTGGATATATAACGAGTTTACAAATTATTACTTATGTTTAAATTTTTTTGTTTTTATATGTGCATTAGTTATTTATGAATTATATCGTTGCTTATAAATATATTATATAGAGATTCTTATTGTTTTAGAAAACATTTTACCTTGCACAATCGTAGTATGCTAATATTCTCATTCATTTAATTCGTATGTTACTGAAAAGATGAAGTAGTTAAAGATTTCATATGTATTAATATTCGTTACATTTTCCAAGGTATATTAGTCAATTATTTTCTGTATGAATATGTCATATATTCACATCCACTTTCTATGTATTGACGCGAATGTGAATAATTAAGAACTGAAATCGAAGGGTAATGTTTGCTATCGTAAAGACTATCGTAAGAGCGATCCTTGATTGAACAAAACATATTTAATTACTTGCAAACGACAAAAGCTTATGTGTGCCCATTTAGCCAAGTCGATTTATTGGTTGAGTAAGTACTTCTTCAATGATCGATTATTGGGTGCTCGCCGCCAGGCTAAATCTCACGATGGAACATTTCAGGGCACAATTTACGCACTCGAAAAATGCAATTCATTTGCTTTTATTGTTGTTGTTTTGAATAGTACTTTTTCAATGAGAATAATGTGGTGCACCTTGAAGTGGAAGCTACACATTTTTATGTTTTTCAAAAATATATGAGAAAAGTACTTTAGTTCTTTCCTTCTCGATATAGTAACGTCAACAATGCAATGCAAACTCTTATCGCAGTTTCTGAAGATAGTAATCAATTTTGATTAAGTAAAGTTGAAGAGGATTAGGAAATCGATTTCGTGAATAGATGTGTAGATTTGGCTGCCTCAAAGTTTTCAGAGAATTGGTGAAAAACGAAAATGATATAAAATATCGTTATAACATTGTATAAAATAAATGTTAAACGTTATTCACAATCACTAATATACATAACATTTATTCTAAAGAAAAAAAAGAACATTTCACTTCTATAAAAGTTAAATAAGTTAATTAAACATATAGACGTTTGAATATTGAATTATAATTCTTATTAACAACTAACATTATGAAATTGAGTAATTAATAAACTAATAATTTATTAAAACTTACAAGAGTGAAAAATATTTTGTCGAGGCTAAGATTGAAAATCTTATCAAATTTTTCATACAATAAAATGTTTCATAATAGCATATATTTCTTCCTTAAATATCTATAAATAAATCTTAAAGTAAAAAAGCGTTAAAAAACATTAAATTTTATTATTGATTAGATTAATGTTTCTTATATTTAAATAGACGTTTAATTTCAATTTGACAAATACTTGCTTAGGCTATGTCGGCTGTATCGAATATAAATATTGAAAATGACAGTAACGTCATCAACTTTACACATAAATTTTTACGCGCGTGTATATACTCTATTTGAGAGAGAGAGAGAGAGAGAGAGAGAGAGACGCACTTCCTGTAATGCTTCAGAACTCTTCACTTTTTCTAGCCGACGACGAGATCTTTCGTCTTATCGCCCGAATGACGAACGACACTCTCGAAATGATCGAGACACTGGCTTAGAGTCTTTTATTTATTTCCTTTCTTATTGAAAAATCACAAGCAAAAGTCTTGTCTTCTTCTATCTCGAACTTCCATTGTCAATTTATGAAGATACCTGTCCATGTCTTCCACAACCTTATGTTTGTAAAAGTATTCCGTTGTGTTGTATTGTTAATAGTTTGATAGAAGCACCTTTGATTAAGCACAATCTTTAATTAATTAACAGCACCTCAACAATGACATAACTAAATAAATTTTCAAATTTATCATAGGATATCATTATTAAGTATGCACACTATCAAGTACAAATACATTTAAATTTTGCAATTTCTTTGAGAAAATCTGTATCTTCTTATCGGGGCACATTTAACATAATTCAATGGAGCTACCTTCACATAATACATAATTATAAAAAGTAAAATTTAATATGAATAATGTAAATGAAATCGGCCAATAGCCTGCAGTCATTTATTTAATATGAAAATTGAACTTATTGTTTATACGATGAAAAAAGAAAGATATTTGATTTGAGATACTGGTGAAAGAATAAAAAAATAACATGCGTATTATCTTCTTTGTTTGTATAGTCCAATTTTTGTATTATAGTTTATAAAGATAACGAATTACGTAATTTGAAAATTGATCTAATATTTAACAACCTTTCACGCTGCTCGTATAAGTGAATAGAAAAAAGCTTTGTCGAGATAATATAAAGAGAATAAAGGACTCACAGCATACACGATTACACAAAACTGTTAATTCCGATTTCGCGATTATTTCTCGCCGTAATATAATGCGGCTATGTGTAACAAACAAGGAAAGCCGATATTCAATTAAAATTCCAATTAGCTCCTTAAGGGGATCTACTCATCTACACTTTAAAAACTAAAGTTTTTTTTAGTTTTTTTTTAATGAATTCTGTAGATGAATAAAATTATAAGACTTATGAAACAGTAGACAGAAGAAAAATGAAACTTTATAATAAACTTACTATTGACGAATCCTGTGACTGAAATTATAAATTGATAGAAGCAATGGCGTGCGTAAATTTTACTCAACGTTAAAATTTAAAAACGCTTATTTTGTAATTAAATTACATGCTTGGTAATCCATAGATATTAAAAAAAAAATAATAATAATAAAAATACTCTATAATTATTGGAAAGAAAAAGAAAGGAAATAAGGAATAAAATCTTTTTCTTTTTATATATTTCAATTTATTTAAACATCCTTTTTTAAGACATTGAAATTGATGATTTGGATTAGTTATAAAGCTCGTATAAAATAAAATTTACATTTGATCGATGGCTTAATTAGTTTTTGTACTATTACGACCGCCAATTTGGAAAATTTCTAAAATTCAGTTTGAAATGTCGAAAAAAAGTACTTTAATATTCCATATTATGAAGAGTATGCATTCCTATTTCATACTTATATACTCTCGATTATGTATTTTAATAAAATACGTTTCATTGTTTTTCGAAACTTTGAAAATACAATGTTGAAAATACAGTTTCGATCATAATTTTGTGAAACGTTGATTTAACCATGAATAAATAATGCCAATGTATATTCTTTATATTGTAAATAAAGAGCTTGATTCTGTTTGTTTTAGAATATTGTTTTTTTCTTCTTTACTTTCATGGTGAAAGTTTTTATTCAAATCTCCGATAGACTTAAAAAAAATCTAAGAATGTAAAATAAATGTCGCCATTTCACAAAGCTCCCACAAATCTGTGAAAATCCATAAGAATTGTATGTGTCGCGAATTTTAAGACTCGTATAATAAAAATTTTTTTTTTTTTATAGATAATAAAAACTGGACGCTATTCAGCACTACTTTTGTAATTTCTTTTCTATTTAATTCTTTATGGTTTCACTAAGAAACCATGTACTTCTTGCATTAAATACTATGAAAAAACCTGGTTTTCCTTTGAATTTTATAAAAAGATTTAAATAAAAAATCCTATTATAATACACGCCATTGTGTAATTTTGAATATATATTTTCCAGTATGTGATAGGACACGAATACTCCATTTTGAGGAACAATTATCATATGGGAAACGAATGTGTGTATAAACATCGATATACTCAGTCGGGATATCCGTACTCGTTGTGAAAGCGAAAGATCTGTATTTCGATTTGGAATCTTTTTCCTTTTTACTTTACAATAGAATACACAACTTTCGTGATTTTTTAGTAAATTCATATTATAATATTTATAAATAAAGATTACGTATTTTCTTGTGCAGATGCACATGCTTGTGCATACGCGTGTATGATGAAAATATCGCAGTAAATTTTTAACCTTTAGAGCTATAAATAATAAATATGTGATATATAAGACGTAAATATGCGAGCGTGGCTGTTGAAATTTGCCTATAAAATTGAAAAAAAAAAAAGAAAAAAAAAAAAAAAAGAAAAGAAGCATTAATTTATCGATGGATATTGCTTATAGGCGAATTGGGCGACTACGAACCAGAATTGCACGAGGGCAATTACATTTCGGAACACAAACTCCTTCTAAAGCAGACCGACGCGATCGAGGAGAAGGCTCTCGAGCTTCATCAGACACAACTCAAAGGTTTTACTCCGGAGCAAGCCGAGACTCACTTCCTCAGGCTGGCCTCACAACTCGACACCTACGCTGTTGATCCGCACCCCGTTAAGGTGAGCGTGACTCCTCGTATTATATTGCTCCTGCGATGTTTATTTATCCTTCAAGCAAACAATATTCGTCGTAACTTTAATTTCTTATTTTCAGTGACGCTCAGCTATCACAAAATTTAACATTATTCATCGTTTGATTTTTTCTTTACCTTTACGATATCTTCTCACTATTACTTACTACTCATCATAGTAAGTAAGTAAATGCGTAGTTTTGCAGATCAAAAATCTTTCATGTATCAAATGTTTTGACGTCGAGGGCTATTTATGTGATAAGCTTAATAGTTAAACACCGTAAAAGTATTTACGTAAATATAAATTATATTTAATAAATATGAACGTATATATTTTCTCGTAAATAATACATATTCATGCACAAAATTTTCATTCTTAAAAATCTAAAAAGTAAGTAAGTTTAATTTTAAGAATCCAGTTTCGTAGGCGTATAACTAATTGCTTGAAAATCAATTATCAATCGCATGCAATAATAAAGCTCTATAGCCTAACCTGTTGAATTATAAGCATATATTTTTTTTACATTCAAATTACTGAAATTTTAAACCTTACCCTAAGAATATCAAGAATGCATTTATTAAATGTCTACGGAAAATTTGTTCTCTTTACACTAAATAAAAAATATAGTAATAATACATTTTATAAAGAGAAAACAAATTATCGCATGATTTAAAGTACAATTCAATGCGCAGATTTGTAAATTCAATTTAAACAACTTTTTACTATTTATTATAAAATCATTTATTCATTATAAAATTTATTACTTCAACTTTTTCTTTAATTATTCTTTATTGCTTTTAAAAATCTCCTTAAATTATGAATTATTATTACATTTGAATAAGCAATACATAAATTGTAAATACTTTTATGATCTTAAAATTATGGTCCAAGAGTATTATACAAATTTTGCTTTATGTGAAAATAATTATAAGCCGTGGAAAATAATAAAATACTCTTAACGACTAAAACGAATAAATTTATATATATATATATATATATATATATATATATATATTTTTTTTTTTTCATTTATATTGCTCGATGCTCAAATCCTTGTTTTAAAGCAAATTTTAATACTAAACGGTAAATAATAAAATTATAAATTGAAAAATTCTTTCGCAATTTGCTTCTTTGAGAATCGCATAATATTTAATAAATGCTAATTTATTAAATGAAATCAAATGAAACTTATATTAATTGGATTAAATTTTTTATTTTATAGTAAAAATTTGTTAAAATCTCTTGACATTGCATCTCTTGAACAAAGTAATTTAAAAGAAAAAGTTGAAAACTAATGTTTGAATGCCTTTTAAATCAGCTGCATTTAAAAATTAATACATAATAATTTAAAAAAAAAAAAAAAAAAAAAAAAAAAAAAAAACAAAAACTTAATAATTCGAATATCTTAGAAATGTTTGGGTGAAGATTTAGCCTTTATATTTTCTTAAATTTTCCAATAAATTTTCCAATAAATTTTCCAACAAAATTATTATTATTTAAATATTAAGAATTTCTCCAATCAATTGAAATGTTATTTAAGAAAATTTTACTGACCACATCCTATACAAAATTATGCCACGCAGTTCAATAAAAATTTCCATCTAAATTCTACGTAGAATTAAAAGTCTTCAAATATATGGAATTATTGTTGAATAATATGTAACGTATTTTCAAGAAAAACTTTAATTAGTACTCCATGGAAAAAGATTCCGATGCTTTCAGTTCATTATCTTAGATTTTTCAACGCGTGGAACAAAATCTTGTTTTTATCTGGGTCAAGTGAGTTTTGTACTATCTATCTCTGTTTTCATACTTCCGTCACTTGTTTTTGACCCTCCTTCTTTCTCTCTTCTTGTTAAGAGTACTTTCCATCCTGTACATCATCTAGTCCACTTCACTTCCTTGCAATTTACATTTCTGTCTGTTTCTTCGCTCTTTACCACTTTTTGTTTATCTCTCTATCTCTTTTTCTTATACGTTGTTATTTATTTCTTCTTATGATGCAGCTTATCAGATTATGTCAAAATAAACTACAGTTCTTTCATCCGTTTTGGATTATAATTTTAGTTTTTCTTCACTTCATGCCTTTTTTTATTTACGTATAAAATGTCTATTTTCCGGTATTACTACGTATAAAAGTAAATATACACCGGAAAGTATAGAATTATATTTATATTTTCCTTAATGCATTTAACATATGCTAATTTTATATTAAAAATATTTTTTTGTAATCGATTATTTACGAAAATTAACATTTATTCTGAATAAAATTCATATTTAATGGTAATAGATTTAATTTAAAATTTCTTAATCAATATTTAAGTGAATCCATTGAAACCATTAAACATTAAATTTTTCATTATATTTCTTTAACACAACATTTAACATATAATGTTTATTATATTTTAAGTGAATTTATTTAGTCACATCATTTTCTCTTTATTTCTAATACGATATCATATTCCATCTTCTCATTTATTTATATTTATAATCTACATTTACATAAAAAATCTATTACACTATACTGGAACTATCCAAGTATAAACAATTAATAGGTAGTTAATACTGTTTCTGAAAGTAATAACAAATATATTATACAGTAACAAAGGAAATGTACAAATAATGAATAAGATATTTGCTGTATTTGCGAGTGTAAAAATAAACAATAATAATACATTTGAATGGTAAGGCCTCCTTAATAGTTATATTATATTTATTAAATAAATCATATAATATGCCAAAAATCTGTCTTTATGAATATCTAAACAACATTTATTAGTATTCAATGATATAGTATTAAATATAAGTATTAATTAAATTTTAAGTTTTACATATTATACTATTATTTGCTAACTATAAATTATATTAATATTAGTAGAATAGAATATTAATTATACCATTAATATACTATTAATAGCATATGAAAGTAATGAATAATTTACATTTTATATTTATCCTTTATTTAACACATTTTTTACTTCATAATAATTTTTCTCTCTCTCTCTCTCTCTCTCCCCCTCTCATTATAATAATTATTTTATTATATCTTTTACAAATTTACGGACAGAATTTATACATTTTTAAATTTTAACACTTTTGTTGAAATATCGTTCGTAAATAAAACGAAAATTGTAAGGTGTAAAAACATAAACATTATTTATACTTTTCCTCATGTACCTTCTCTATCTGGTTTTTGTACATTTCTAACATCTCATTTAAAAATCTCGGCAGTTGAGAGGAAGTTTCGGCGCTGGGTTTGGCGAGAAAAGTGTTGGTGCAATGTTCATGTTTAGCGTGTGGGTGAACCGGAAGGAAAGCAGTTCGCTAAACGAAATAATTGACGCGTAACATATCGAGATCAAAGTAAATTTCCACCTTAACTTGACTCTTAAAGGAATATGTTCTTTAAATATTAATATAACACATTTATTAACATTTATTGAATTAAAACATAAATTAATTTCAATTCCTCTATTGGAAATATAAATTTTTTCAGAAAATAGAAAAAATATATTTATTCTTTGTATTAATCTTATTAACTATTATTCGTTTATTTTTAAGCTTAAATTGTTGTTTTTCATAATATTTAATTAGTTATTCATAAACATTTTGACATGGCGACATGAAGAAGAAAAAATTTTATTATTACTTTATCTATATGTATAATAATCATACATATTTTAAACAAATTAAATAGAGCAAAGTTTTACTTTCATTGCAAATAATCGCAGATTTAGCAAACCATTGTTATAAGTACCAATTCAAACAATTAATTTTCAAATAAGAATTTTTCATAGTATAAAAAGCGGTTGTTTCAACAATTTGTTTTATTAACAATGCCGTAATAAGGCTTAATGTAAATTTCATTATAAAAATAGCTTCAAGCTTATATTAATTTCATTAATTTCGTTAATAAAAAGAAGGGTAGTTAAAATCCTACTAAAATTAGTTATAGTTAATAAATATAATATATATTTTTTTTCTTCTTTGAGTAAAGTAGTTATAAATAGTATTATCAGCGTAAATTTTGATATTAATATTTGATATTAATATTAATAATTAATTTAAAAGATTAATCAAGAGATGTAATGTAATGCGCTGGTAAATTATAAAATATAAGAGTCAAATGTGAGGATGATAATTCATTTACATTATCTGCATTGAATGCGAAGATTGTATTTCCGGTAGACGAAATTTACGGATTCAATGAAAAGGATTTTGTTACTAATATTAAAGTAAAAGCAACTATCTCTATAGTAAGAGGACAATTAAAATATGTTTGTGAATAATGAAATAAAACGTATAATTCGGTTGACTGAACTACTTACATTATATTATAAAATATTATGATTTGTCAATCTAATATATACCCTATCCCAAGAAAATTATTAAATTTATGTAAAATATTTATCATATTTATAATATCATTCTGTATATTAAGTTCACTACTTAAAACACCATTTTATTTTTCAAACTTTTAAATAATACTTTAATTTGTTATGAACAATTATTTTATAAGTAGTTTTAACGTTGCCAGTGATATTACCAATTAAATCAACTAAATTATATTTATTCAATGGTAGCTCTAATTATCCAGTAGTATTTCACTATTTTTTTACGAATAGATGATTTTATGTTGCTATCCGAGTAATTTCCATATAGATAATAAAGTGCACAGAATATAGAATATTTTACGAATATAAATATTACATTTGAATTTAATTAATTTTTATATAATGATTATATGTACATACATACCTTAGCTCCAAATTACAGCCAAAGCCTTAAGTGACACTTATTTCACGACATTATTTTATGGCATAATTTTATAAATCATTTCTTATACAAATGGTAAAGAATAGATGTAATTACTCATATTTTAATTATTTCTTACTGTTGATTACAATTATTGTCAATTTATTGAATTAATTCTAAACCATACATTTATGCGATTTATATACAATTACGTAATTATTGAATGTTAATATGACGGTAAGGCATAGAACTTGAAAACTTGAGACAAAGTAATTCGAGCAGTAATGATTAGGTTTGCCGTATGCCAAATTAGTTCGCAAAATTCACAAGCGCCTCCGATTAATCACGATCGGACTCAACGAGCAAACGCTAAGTTTACGACCAGTTACCTGTATTACATACTTCGAGCTTCCCCCCCCCCCCCCTCAACCCCCCCCCCCA